GGCTTCTCCCCCCTTGCACGTGTGTGCCTGCTCCCTGTGGGGGGGGGGGGGTCCCTGCTGGACAGTGGGCTTGGAGTAAGGGCTGCTGATCAGACGGAGAGCAGCTGTGAGCCTCAGACCAGGCTGTACCAGCCTCACTCACGTGGGTCAGGGTGGGCACTGACTGTAAGCTCCCCAGTCGGGCAGGGCTGGGGCACTGGGCAGGTGTGTCAGCACCCTGCCACCTTAGCTGTGGGCACCTCGTCTGACATGCCCTGGAGCAGACCTGAGGACACCTAGAATTGAGTGGCGGTGTAAAAAGCATCACAGGGATTTTGTTCCCAGTACTCCTGGTCATTGAACCTTAAAAGGTGAGACAATCAACAAAACATTGTAGACAGTGGAGAAAAACTCAGAGTTGCTTGTGTGTCATGTAATTCTTGCAAAGATTTGTGAATGAAGGAAGAAGCTAACACATGTATAGATTTTCAGGGTAAGCAGTCCTGGACCCATTTTGTGATGCAAGTGAGGCTCAGAGGTCTAGGTCTAGGAGAAAGCACCATGCCAGGGTGAGAACCCTGGAATCCACTTCTCTCTGCATAGCAGTTCAGATTTGATGGCTGGCCCCAGAGGCCTCTGAAATCCACCCAGGCAGAAACTTAATGCCAGCAACCCCAAAGCTGGGCCCTGTGCTTTTGCAATTCTCAAAATCAGGAGTTCCAGAGGATCCCATGGCCTATCTGGCCGTAAAGCCCCAGGACTCTGTCTCAGGGATTTACTTGAGATCTTGTGGTCCTGCCTGTAATTTGCTAAAATGAATAAGCTGAGGGTCAGCCAGGTGGTATAGATCCCACATGACCGACTGTCATTTGAGTCCTGGACCCAGTGGCTTAAAAAAGAAATGCCAAATGCACATGCGTGCCCAGAATCCCAAGAGAAAGGATTGTGGTGACTATCCCTATTGAGGTTACTTTCTTTTATTTTTTTGGAGAGGTTTTTGCTACAGGGCGCATGTGCTTACCAGACAGACAGAGACAGAGAGACAGAAAGCGAGAAATCACCCCCCAGGGGGAATGGCCATGTCGCAATCCCTTCTCCTCCATTCTCCTCTCAGGATCTTGGGCACGCACGCACACGCGCCCGGTGTGAGTTTAAGCCACCAGGTCTGGGACTCGAACCACGGTCGACTACGTGGGAGTCCAGCGACATAGCCATTATGCTAACTGCTGGTCCCAGAGGTTACTTTCTCACGTCCCCTCCCTCCTCCTCCCTTTCTCCTTCCTTCCCTCCCTCCCCCCCCCCATGAGCATACATACCCTATAGCAAATTAAAAATAATTAATAAATAAGCAGGCAGGCTGGTAGGAAGATGGTGTTTTCAGTCTCTCCAGATCTCTGTAGAAACCAGCAGAGCAGCTAGGTAGCAAAACCAAAGCCTTGTGAACAACATTCAGGACAGCACTGGGTCACTGGGTGTTTCCGGAAACTCCAGAGTGCAGGCAGAGGGGAATGACCTTCAACAGCCACAAGACCTGCACAGTACCCGTATCTGAGCAGGAGGAAGAGGTACGTGGCCAGAGCCTTCTAGCAGAAGCGGGGGTGCCTGCTGGCCAGCAGGTGTTGACTAGAAAGGGCAGCCAGCGGGAGTGCAGTGGCAGACACTGAAGAGGGTTTCATCCCTTTTTTCTTTTTCCACTTTTTCACAAGTTCAGATACAATTTAATGCCATAAGATTCACCCTTTTAAAAGTATATGATTCTGTAGTTTTTTTTTTTGTTTTTTTTTTGTTTTTTTTTTTTAACAGCTATCCCCACTATCTTCCAGAACGTTTTCCTTACCTCAAAAAGAAACCCTATTAGGGAACCAGCAGTTAGCATAATGGCTATGTCGCTGGACTCCCACGTAGTCGACCGCGGTTCGCGTCCTGGACCCGGTGGCTTAAAACTCACACTGGGCGCATGTGCGTGTGTGCCCAAGATCCCAAGAGGATAATGGAGGAGAAGGGATTGTGGCATGACCATATCCCCCCTGGGGGGTGATTTCTCACTTTCTGTCTCTGTCTCTCTCGGTCTGGCGAGCGCACGCGCCCTATAGTGAAAACCTCTTCAAAAAAAAAAAAAAAAAAAGAAACCCTATTAGCATCTCACTCTACCCCACTGCAGCCCTAGCCCTCAGTAACCACTTTACATCTGGATCTGCCTATTCTGGACATGGCGGCTACAAGGAATCAGATGGGGTGTGGTCATCTGTGACTGGTCCCTGTTAGCATGTTTTCAAGGTCCATCCATGTCATAGCATATCTCAGCACTTCCTTTCTGTGGCTGACCACTGTGAATATACACGTTTTATTCATCCATCCATTATCTGATGGGTGTTTTCAGCCATTATGAGTGATGCCGCTATAATCGTTCATAGATGTTTTCTTTTTTTTTTTAAGAATTACTTATTTATGGGACTAGCAGGTGGTGTAATGGCTATGTTGCTGGACTCCCATGTAGTCGACCACGGTTTGAGTCCCTGACCCGGTGGCTTAAACTCGCGCCGGGCGCATGTGCGTGCATGCCCAAGATCCCAAGAGGAGAATGGAGGAGAAGGGATTGTGGCATGGCCATCCCCCCTGGGGGGTGATTTCTTGTTTCCTGTCTCTCTGTCTTTCTGGCAAGCACATGTAGCATAAACCTCTCAAAAAAAAAAAAAATAAGTCAAAACAGCATTTAGTGGGCAAGTCTAAACCAGTGTGTAGGGATGCACATTTGTTGACAGAACTGCCAAAAAAGACACGACAGAAGTCAGGTTAGGGCTAGACCCGTGCCTAGTGGTTAGAGGAGCCAGTTCCCAATGACTGACCATAGTTCAAATTCAGCCCGGCAGCTTAAAAACAGACAGGTGTCCGAAATCCTGATGGGATGAGAAATAGAGGAGGGACCATGCCCCACTGGGAGGTATTTCCTCCCTCTCTGTCTCCATAGGCAAGCGCAGGCACCCTCTGGTAATTTTTTTAAAGGGTAATGGTTATAAGGGAAGGGCAGTGATTAGGATGAGATATTTTGCTTCTTGACCTGGTGGTGGTTACAAGAGTGCTTTAGAGTAATTTGTTAAGCCATATGTTCATTTGTGATTTTTCTGAACCCGTTTACTTTATAATAAAAATTTTTTAAAAGTCTAGGGACCAGCAGTTAGAGTAATGGCTATGTCACTGGACTCCTATGTAGTCAACTGCAGTTCGAGTCCCGGATCCGGTGGCTTAAAACTCACACCAGGTGTGTGTGCATGTGTGCCCAAGATCCGAGAGGAGAATGGAGGAGAAGGGAATGCAGTGTGGCCATTTCCCCTGGGGGTGATTTCTCATTTTCTGTCTCTCTGTCTCTCTCTCTCTCTCTGGCGAGCGTACGCACCCTTTAGCAAAAAACTCTCCAAAAAAAAAGTCCAGAGGCCAGCAGGTGGCGTAGTGGTTAAGGTATTAGACTCCCACATGGACAACTTGAAACTCATACCAGGCGTGTGTGTGTGTGTGTGTGTGTGCCCACAATCCCAAGAGGAGAATGGAGAAAAGTGATTTGCAGTGAGGCCCTTTTCCCCGGCAGGTGATTTCCCACTTTCTGTCTCTCTAGTGAGCACACACACCCTACAGTAAAAATCTCTCCACCCCAAAAAAATCCCAGGGCATCCAGAGGTATGATGCTTTTTGTTTTGTTTTTGCCAAAGGGTGTATTCCCTCCCCAGAGAGAGAGAGAGAGAGACAGTGAGAGGGAAAGTGAGAAATCACTCCATAGTGGGGATGGCCACACTGTAATCCCTTCTCTCCCATTTTCCTTCATTCTCCTTTTGGGATATGAGGTATGCACATGTGTACCCAGTGTGATTTTCAGTTCACCAGGTCTGGGATCCGAACCACAGTCGGCCATATGGGAGCACCTTAACCCCCATGCCACCTACTGCCCTGACAGTGTGATTCTTAGGGTGGCCGGATCCCTCTGGCTGAATGTGCAGTGTGAGTCCCGGTTATATCAACTTGAAAAACATGTCAGGTGCATGTTTATGTGTGCCCCAAATCCCTAAAGGAGAAGGGACTGCAGCATGTAAAGTAGTCCCAAGGGTACTTTCTCACTGTCCCTCTCTCTTTGTTTCTGGCAAGTGTACATGGCCTGTAGCAACTTTTAAAAAATTAAGATGTCCCAGTGTGTTACCCTTTCATGAGTTTGAAAAATACTGTTTCTTAAATTTTCTAGAGTTCCTAATTCCTACTTTAAATGCATACTGGAGAAAGATGCACAAATTTAGGAGTCCTGGGGGGAGAACTGTGAGTAGCTGTTGATCATGTCACTGTCTGCATCACCCAGTCCTGAGAATGAGAAGGATCAGCACCCTGGGTCTGCAGGAACTGTTCCACACAGGGCCAAGGGCAGAGTCCCCACGTGTCCCCTCTCTACAGATTGGCTGCAACGCCGTCAGCTGGGCCCCAGCTGTTGTACCTGGAAGCCTCATAGACCAGCCGTCAGGGCAGAAACCCAATTACATCAAGAAGTTTGCGTCAGGTGGCTGTGACAATCTCATCAAGCTGTGGAAGTAAGTGGGTGTGCGGACTGCTCTCCAAGGGGACCCTGCCACTCCTACCTACCATGGGTCTGCCACAGTTGAGAAGGAACAAGGTCACCTCTCCCCTCCTGCCAGGAAAATACCCCTCAGACTAGCAGGGGATGTTCCTCTAAAAACAAAACAAAACAGAAAACCTTTTTCCTAGCACTTTTACCACTCCCAGCTAATTTCCAAATGTTGGAGTTGACTTTTGGCTGTGGAGGAACGGCATTCCCTGGAGAGTTTCTTTCAAGGTGGAGTGAATCAAAGAAAATCCTGCAGGCTCAGTGAATGACAGGAAAGATGGGGTTGCTTCTTGGGCTTTGGGAGAGCCTATGGGGTCGCAGAGAAATGGAGGTGTGGGGCAGGCACCTGGACTCTCTCTGGTCTCCCCTTAGGGAGGATGAGGACGGCCAGTGGAAGGAGGAGCAGAAGCTGGAAGCGCACAGTGACTGGGTTCGCGACGTGGCCTGGGCCCCCTCCATTGGCCTGCCCACCAGCACCATTGCCAGCTGCTCCCAGGTTGGTTCACACCCATGCCGGCATCCCGTGTTTCACCTTGCACGTGTCCCCTCAGCCCTCTGGAAGGTAAAGGCAGGCACCGGGCACCTTTGGACCGGTGCAGACGGGAGGGAGCACATCAGCGAGTTCTCGGTCAGAAGCCGCAGTGGCTTGCCCCCTCCAGGGTCACATGATTACAGTGAACCAGCACCAGGAGTGAGGCCAAATTCCAGGCGTTTTCTCCCCGACCCTTGTGCGGTAGGGAACAGAGGTGCCGTGTACAATTCTGAGAACATGCCCGAGCCAAGACTGGGGCAATGGGAAATTCTAAGACTGTAGGACTCAATTACCTGGTCACCTTTGCCAGAGGGATCCTAAAAGTAAGACCAAGGACAAGCCTTCAACTGTGTGAGACAGCACTCTAGGCAGGAGGTAAGCCAGGCCTTTTACATGGTTTGAACCTGTTTGCGATGCTCAGTTTGAGAAGGATTTTTGTGATTTTTCTTTTAAACTTGTTCTTCCTTCTTATTCTCTGAGCTTAGTTCTTAAACGGATATAGTTAGGGGCCAGGAGATGGTGTAGTGGTTACATCTCTGAACTCCCCTCATGGCCAACTGTGATTCGAGTCCCAGACCCACACCAGGATCATGTGCATATGTGCCCAAGATCCCAAGGAGGAGAAGGGATTACAGCATGGCCATCTCCCCTAGAGGGTGATTTCTCACTTTCTGCCTCTGTCTCTCTGGCGAGTTTACATGCCCTATAGCAAAAATCTCTCCACCAAAAAAAAAAAAAGGACCAGCAGATGGCATTATGGTCACGTTGCCGCTCTCACATAGTTGACTGCAGTTTGAATCCCAGACCCAGTGGCTTAAAACTCACACTGGGCTCGTGTGTGCGTGCCCAAAATCCCAAGAGAAGGGATTGCAATGTGGCCATTGCAACCACCCCCCTGGGGGTGATTTCTCACTTTCTGTCTGTCTCTCTGGAGCACACACACCTTATAGCAAAAGTCCTTCTCCTAAAACCAAAAAAACAGATTGACTTATTTGGCTGAGAAAAGTGACACAGCCGGAGGAAAGTGACTTGGCAGACTTTAGGATGATCAGAGTTAGCAATGAGCCGATCTGTATGAAACCAAGATGAGAAGGAACCTGGGATGTTCTTGAACAGTGTGAGTGTTCTTGGGTTAAAGTGAGAAAGCAAGGGTGCTAGGCTAGTGACTGGTCATCAGGGCGCAGGCCCCCAAGAGGTCCCTGGGTCCTCTATTCGTGGAGAAAGGCCCAGCATAGCCCCAGGCTGAGAGGGCATCACAGACGCCGGGTTCCGGGCCTGCTGACTCTGGCCTGTCTGTGTTCATTTGGACCTGTGATGATGCCTCAGGCAATACGTGGTCTCCCAGGCTGCTGCACAAGTTCAATGATGTCGTGTGGCACGTCAGCTGGTCCATTACAGCCAACATCCTGGCCGTTTCAGGTGGAGACAATAAGGTACATCCTGTCTTAGTGGCACAGTGGTCAGGGTCCTGTTCTCTCCTTAGGCTACTAGAAAACGGTGGACGGTACCATCTGATCACAGGCTTGGAAGGAGCCTTATTGGGGACTGTATTTGGGTGTGGATCTGAATTACATTACTGAGTTTCGTAACTCCCTAAGCATTTAGTAGCCATCCCCCTCCGTGATTTATAGATGGGGAAAGAAACTGACAGGCAGTGTACCCAGTCAGATCTGAGCCACTGACATGTCATTATCACCTTGACCACTTGGTCACCGCATCCTCATGGTGATAGTCACTCAGCTCTGCTAAAAAAAGTAAGTCAAGAAGAAAAAGCAGCTATAAAAGAGAAGATTGGAAGGTTTTGTCCAAAACACTTAAGCATGTATTTTTTTTAATCAGGACAGTCTGTGAGTAGTTATTATACACCTGCCGGATACTTACTTCTCACTGCTGTAAGACATGGAGCCTAAGTGGCCACTGGGCAACGAGTAAAATAAAGACAGACACAGGGCAGGGTAGAGAGCAGGGAGACTAAGAGGATCCCTGGCCACGTCACACCTGAGAAGCAAGTGCGCTTGGAAGGACTCATAGCCACACCATCTGGGACCCACCCAAAAGTCAGGGACCGTCTGCCTTAGAGTTTATCCAGGCAGGCGGCAGTGGCTTGTTCCTTCTTTCTGCAGGTATCTTTTATTTCCGTGGTAGAATACACATAAAATTTGCCATGGTCATTCACCATTCTTAAGTGTATAGTTCAGTAGTGTTTAAGTATATTCACATTGCTGTACAACTGATCTTCAGAACTTTTCGTTCTTCAAAACTGAAACTCTGTACCCCTTAAATAACAACTCCTCATCTCCACCCCATGACAACCACCATTGTAGTTCCTGTGAATTTGACTACTCTAGGCGCCCCCTTGTAAGTGGATTCATACAGTCTCTGGCCTCCTGTGACTGGTTTATGTCATTCAGCAGCATGTCGTCAAGGTTCATCCATGTGATAGCATGTGTCAGAATTCCCTTACTTTTTAGAGCTGAATGATATTCTGTCGTATGGGTAGATCGCATTTGTTTACCCATTCATCCATCAGTGTATGCTTGGGTTGTTTCTGCCTTTTGGTTGATGTGAATAATGATGTTGTGAATATGAGTGTACAGATAACCTCTTTGAAGATCCTGTGCAGAAAGCTTTTTTTCTGATCTAGTGTCCTATTTGTCCTCTGTGGTCCCAGAAAGATCTAGCAGGACCTATCTCAAAGCTAGAGTTTTGGTGCTGGACTGGCCCTCGGGACAACTAATCCATCCTCCTTTACCCCTGGTGAATGTGACAGGCAGGACTAAGACCCAGGTTTGACAGGCCAAGGAGCCCAGACTTGCTGAAACAGGCCTGCACTGGTTTTTTCCAAGGCACTTAGCAAGTGCCTGAAATTGATGTTTTGGGGTCTGCTCTCGCTATGTCTGTGGGCTCTTCCTCTTCCATATAAGCCTATCTCCTACAAAGAGCTCAGTTCCACTGCTGTCTTAGTATATTTTCAGCCCAAGCATTCTGCCGTGTGTGTTAGTGACTAGTGTGTCCCTAAAGCAGGAGTTCTTAAAGTCATCTTTTTTTTTTTTTTCATTTATTTATTTATAACACCAAGTCAAGGATATTACCATATACATCATTTTCTATAGAGTACTTTCATTCTTGGGTCTGGTAAGTGTTCCCTTTGCCCTTCGTTCCCTGGGGTTTTTTTTGTGTGTGTGTGTTTTTTAATTATTTTATTTAACTTTATTATTATTACCAGTATGATCAGAACCAGTCAGAGAAAGGGAGAGAGAGGGGAAGCGAGAAAGAGAGCCATAAGATCCAGGACTCTAACTGTGATTGGCCACGTGGGTGTCCAGTGCCTTTAGCCACAATGCCACCTGCTGCCCACCCCTTTCCCCTTTCCTACTCACCCTCTACATCCACTCCCCTTCTTTACTGACATTGGCATCTACGTTTATCTTCCCTGCTGTCATATCTTAGAGCTTTTGATTTTTGCCATAGAGAGTAGAAATTTAGTATATATTGAGCAGGAATATAGGTTGTCTTTTAAAGTCTGGCTTTGCTTAGCACTAAGTCCCTCATTCAACCACTTGAATCAAAGGACAGGGTCTTACTGTTCTTTATGGCTGAACAGTATTCTATAGTGTATATGTGCCACTTTTTTTCAGCCCAGTCATCAATTCTTGGGTAGCTAGGATGATTCCAGGTCTTCAGGATTGCAAATAATGCCGCAGTAAGCGTGGAGGTGCAAGTGCTTTTCTGATTGAGTGCTTTCCTGTCCTTTGGGCAACCAAGTAGTTTACTGGGTCATACGTAATTCTATTTGTAGGTTATTAAGGACCTGCCATGTTTTCCAGTGTCTGTACCAGTTTACGTGCTATTTTTAGAGGTTTTTGCCTTACGGTATATTTATGCACCAGAGAGAGAAAGAGACAGTGAGAAGGAACACCGACAGTGTATGGGGGAGTTGGGTAGGGGTTCTCTTCACAACCTTTCCAACACTTGCTCTTTATTTATTTTTAGAGGTTTTTGCCTTACGGTATATTTATGCACCAGAGAGAGAAAGAGACAGTGAGAAGGAAAGTGAGAATTCACCTCCCCAGGAGGGATAGCCACACTGTAGTCCCTACTCCCAGGATCTTGGGCACATATGCACAGTCGGCATGATTCTCAAGCCACTGGATCTGAGACTCAAGCTGCAGTTGGCCACATGGGGGTCTAGTGACATAATCACTATGCCATCTGCTGGCCCCAAGATGGCAAACATGTTTTTCATATGCATTTTGGCCATTCGTATGTCTTCCTTAGAGAGTTGTCTGTTCTTTGCTTACTTTTTAATTGGACTATTCTTTTGTGTATGTGTGTGGATGAGCTACTCAAGTTTCCTAGTCTGCTTATCGGTTCCTTATCTGAAGCGTAGCTTGCAAATATTTCTCCCTTATGTGAGTTGTCTCTTCACTATTTGCTTCCTTTGCTGTGCAGAAGCTTTTTAGTTTGATGTACGCCCACCTGTCTATTCTTGCTATTACTGCCTGCTCTTTAAGGGTCTTATTTAAGTAGTCTTTACCTACTCTTGAGTGTCTTCACGAGTTTCCCTGTGTCTCCCAGGAGGTTTGTAGTTTGAGGCTTTACATTTACATCCTTGATCCATTTTGAGTTGATCTTTGTTAATATTGAGAGACAGGAGTCCAGTCTCATTTCTTTGCAGATAGCCAGATTTTCAAGATCAGTTGGTCCTATGTTCTGGAGCATACTTCTGGATTCTCTATTCTGTTCCCTTGGTTTATGTATCTGTCTCTGTGCCAATATCATGCCATTTTATCACAGCTTTATAATACATCTGGAGGTTGGGTAGCGAGATGCCTCCTGCTTTATTCTTTTTGCATTGTATTATCTTGGTGATATGTGGCCTTTTACAATTCCAGATAAACGATTGTTTTGTTTCTTTGGAGAAGGATAATTTGATCAGAATTGCAATGAATTTGTAAATTTAGTTGGGTAGAACTGACATTTTGATTATAGTGATTCTCCCTATCCAAGAGCACAGTATGTTTCCCTTCTTTCGGGGGGGAGGGTATCATACTCAATTTCTTTTTTCCAGTTTTTCATAGGTGTCTTATAGAGATCCTTCACCTCTTTGGATAGGTTTATCCCTAGGTATTTGTATGTGTGGCAAGTGTAAATGATACAGCTTTCTTCAATCCTGGCTCAGTCTGTTTATTGTTGGTGTATCCAAACACTATAGTGTTTTTTTAAATATTCATTACTGACTTCACTTATCACCTTTTTCTTTTATTAATGTAATCTCCGTATGTCTAACAGCATACTACATTAATCTTCCCAGCATGAATACACTGCATATTAGTCCAGTCAAAGACATTACCATGCACATCATCATCAACAGATCATTTCCCACTTTTGTGTCTGATAAATGCTTTGCCTTTTTTCCACTCCGGATTCCCTCCCTCCCACTCCCCACTGCCCAGCCCCCTTGCACACAGTCTGTAGTATCTACAGTTGTTTTCCATGCCTTTCTACCTTCCAGACTTTCCATTTCTGCCATAGAGTGCAGACATTTTGTATGTATTAACTGAGGACATACAGGACTTCTCTTTCATGGTCTGGCTTGCTTCACTCAGAAACAAGTCTTTCATATTTTTCCACTTTCTATAAAATGCCCGGGTCTTGTTTTTGTTTTTTTAGGACTACATAGTATTCCATAGTGTATATGTGCCACACTTTTTAGCTATTACTTTTTTACATTCAGTGTGTATCATTATAGCATACAAAAGGAATTTTCCCAACATGAATACACTACATATCAGTCCAAAGATATTACCATCCAGTTATCATCAGATAATTATCTGTTTTTATATCCCTTAAATGTCTTCTCTTTTTCACCAATTTTCTCCTCTCACCCTCCCCCCACTTCTCACCCTCCAACACTGCCTGCCATCCACAGTTGCTCTCCATACTTCTGTACCTTCTAATCTTTCCGTTTCTGCCAGAGTGCAGACATTCGGTCTGTATTAAGTAGGGACATACGCTCCTTCTCTTTCATGGTCTGGCTTGCTTTGCTTATATCTTCCATATTTATCCTTTCTGTCAAATGCCATGGTCTGGTTTTTTAGGCTGAGTAGTATTCCATAGTGTGTATGTGCCACCAGCTATCATTTCTAACAGTTTTTGGTGGATTCTTTTGGGTTTTCTTCAGCTAGGACTTCAGCACTATGTTGAAAAGGAGTGGAGAAAGTGGGCAGCCTTGTCTTATTTTGCTTTTTAGTGGGAAAGCTTTCAGCTTTTGCCCGTTCAGTATGATGCTAGCAGTAAGTCTGTCATATATGGCTTTTATTGTGTTAAATGTCCCTTCTAGACCTCGTTTGCCGAGTCTTAATCATAAAGGGATGTTGTGTTTTATTAAATACTTTTTCTATATCAATTGATACTCATATAGTTCTTACTCTTTCTTTCTGTAAATGTGGCCTCTTACAATTACTGTTTTGCATATGTTGAACCGTCTTTACATTCCTGGAATAAAGCCTGGTCATGCTTATAATCTTTTTAAATGTGTTATTGGAGTCAATGTGCTAGTATCTCGAGGATTTGCATCTACATTCATCAGGGATATTGGACTGTAGTTATGACCTCGTCTGGTTTTGTTATCAAGGTGATAATGCTAGAGACTTTATAGACTGAGTTTGGAATGGTTTCTTCCTTTTGCATCTTGAGAAATAGCTTGAGGAAAATTGGTGTTAACTTCTTTTAAAGTTTTGTAAAATTCTGAAGAAAAGCCGGACCAGCAGTTAGCATAATGGCTATGTTGCTGGACTCCCATGTAGTCAACCACATTCGAGTCCTGGACCCAGTGGCTTCAACTCACGCCAGGCCGTGCATGCCCAAGATCCCAGGAGGAGAATGGAGAAGGGACTGCGGCATGGCCATCCCCCCGGGGGGTGATTTCTCGCTTTCTGTCTCTCTGTCTCTGTCTTTCTGGTGAGCACACATGCCCTATTGCAAAAACTTCTCCCCCAAAAAAAGAGAAAGCCATCAGGACCTGGACTTCTCGTCACTTGTTACTGATGTGTTCAGGCTATTTCTCCCAGGTTCAGTCTAGGTAGCTTGTATATGTCCAGAAATGTGTCCATCTTTTCCAGGTTTTCAAATGACTGCATAATTATTTATATTTCTGTAACGTCTGTTTAATATGACTAGCTTCATTCCTGATCTCATTTATCTGATTTTTTTTTTCTGGCTTGTCAATTTTGTTTATCCTTTCAAAAACTGAGCTTTTTGTTTTATAGATATTTGTTTCATTCTTTTAGTCTCTATTTTACTTATTTCAGCTTAAATCTTTATTTTCTTTTCTTCTGGTATTTCTAGGGTTATTTTGTTGCTTTTCAGTTTGTTGAGATGCACTGTCAGCTTATTTGCTACCTTCTTTTTTCTTTCGTTCTTTTTTTTTTTTTTTTTTTTTAAGCGAGCTTTTTGCTATAGGGCGCATGCCCTCGCCAGAAAGACAGAGACAGAGAGACAAAAAGTGAGAAATCACCTCCAGGGGGGATGGCCACGCCGCAATCCCTTCTCCATTCTCCTCTCGGGATCTTGGGCACGCACGCACACGTGCCCAGTGTGAGTTTAAGCCACTGGGTCTGGGACGCGAACCACGGTCGACTACATGGGAATCCAGCGACATAGCCATTATGCCAACTGCTGGTCCCTTTTTTGTGTATTTTTTTAAAGCTTTCTGTTGATTTCAAGTTTAATTCCATTGTGGTCAGGAAAGGTACAGAAACTATATCCAGCATTTTTAAGTTTATAAAGGCTTATTTTTAAATGTTTCTTTTGTGCCTTTGATAAGAAAAAAGTATTTTGTAGTTGTTGGGTGAAATGTTCTATTTTTCATGTAGGTGACCTGTCCAGTCGTGACAGTGAGGTGTCGCAGTCATTCTCTCCCTTTAGCTGTCTTTCATTTACATATTTATCTATGCAGCATACTGGGGCATCAGTTTATGATTGTTACATCTTGAGGTGTATTTCTTATTAACAGGTAGAGGAGTCCTGGTTTGTGTTAGTGGGTTTGATACATTTAGCCAGCCTATGTCTTTTAATTGAGGAATCTAATCCACTGACATCCAGTGCGGTTATAGATATGTTTAGGTTCATCCCTATCACCTCTGTGTTACTGGTTTGTCTCCCTTTCATTTTCCTGGCGTATTTTCCTGTATTTCCTAAAGAGCTGTTCTAGTGTTGGTGAATTACTTCAGTTTTTATTTATGCGGGAATGATTTTACAATTCCTTCTCATCTGAAGGATAAGGATAATCATGTGTTTCCATTATTTCCTTACCTGCATTGTTTCTGCTCAGAGGTCTAAGTATCTTAGCATTTCTCTCTTGCCATTTTTAGAATGTCTTTGGCTATGAGGTGCCAAGGAGACAGCTGCCTTATGTTGACTCTTATCTGCCAGTCTATATTTCTTGGATCTGGATGTTTCTCGAGATGTGGGAAATTTTCAGATACTGTTTCCTAAGAGTTTCTATGCCTTTATTCGTCTCTTTACTTTCTAGCATACCTATTATGCAGATATCTGGCCACTTATTGGCATCTAGAATTTCTCATATGTTCGCCTCATTTTTAATGGTTACTTTTCCATTCCTTTTATTGGTTTGGGCTAAATCAGAAGTTTTGTCTTCAAAACTTGTATGGCCTAATCTGCTGTTAATACTTTCAGAGGGGAGGTTTTGGTTTTCCTTTCTCGGGTTCATGTCCAGATGGTCTAATTCTTTTCTAGGGTGTCTGTCTCCATGGAATACCTCCAAGTCACGGAATGACTTTCTCATCCCCTAGAATTGGTTATCTGTTTTCTCTTGTAGCTCCCTGAGTTTTGTTATACTATGAATTCTTTTTGTAACCATGAATCAAATTTCCCCAAAAGGGGAATTTTATTATTTATTGATTACTTTATTCTCTTACAAACAGACCAACTGTAATCAAATGAGGTGAACATTCCCCTCAGCATTTTGTCATCTTCCTAATAGAAAAGATGAGGCTTAGAACTGGATCACTTGACCCTTTCTCTTCTTATCTCCTCCCAGTTCAAAATGCTTACATCTCTAATAGCCAGCGTTCTCTTAGATCTGCAGTTGGGCTCAACACAATCTTCTTTGTAATTTTTGCCTTTTTCCGGAAAATAGGCTTAGTCTGTCCACCATAGCCGCTCTGCTTCCTGTCATAACGCCGCTTTCCCTGAGCAAACAGAATCCTTGCCCTTTTTGTACTGTGTCACTTTATGAGGTTGGTGCTTGCCACACTTCTTACAGAAGGCCTGGCGAGTTTTAGGGGCGCTCACCATGCTTGCGGGCCTGCTATCTGCACAAAGAGAGGAAGGCCAGAACCATACGAATATTATGAATTTTCTGACATTTCAGTGAGTTATTGTGTTCCTCTGAGGGAGAGATGCTTACCTGGTTTTCTTGTACTTCTGCGGGCTCTGCTTTAATTCTTAGGCATGGCTGGTGAAGGGCTCACTTCTTCCTAATTTTTTGGATAGGTTTTTGCAGCAGTATACTCACGCACTTCCCTGTGTTGTGTTTCTCTGTTCTTTGGATAGGAGTGCTGAAATCCATGGTGGATATTTGGGGTTCATAACTATAGAGAGCTTCTCCTTTTTCTCCACTAGAGGAGGGAGTGGTTGTGAATTCCTCCAGAGCTACAGTGTCTTTGGGGAAAGGATCCAACCACCTACTCTCTAGCTCCCAGTATAGCTGTGGGCTGAGCTGGGAAAGTGAGGTAAATGCACAGTGCATAGGCCAAGCTGCAGACCGCCTCCTCCCTCGCTCTGGCTGGTTGGACATGGAGTAAGGGCAGTTAAGGGCACACTGGCCGGCAAGTCCCTTCTTTGCACACTCCAATGAGACCGGCATGGGGCAGGACAGTGAGTCAGAGTTCGTTTTTCAATAAAATGCAGTTGAATGTTCACTTCCTAGGAGTACACCTTTTCAGTACTCAGTTGTATTTCAGTGTAGAAATAACATGCTTTTAGTGGTCTGTTCTCTATCATAGGTAACAGCATCAAAGTTTGAGGACTATCAGTTTAGTTAAAATGGTATTTGTGTTCATTCACTGCTGCCATTATTCCTGTTCTTTGAGTTTTTCTTTAATTCCTTTTCATCTTGATGGAATTTCTGGGGTGTGGTGAGCCAGGTAAGTGCTCTGTTTATCCACCAGCCTCTGAGCAGTCGTTCTTGATGGTGATGTGGTTCTCATTCAGGGTGTGCAGAGTTGTGATGGTCTGTGCACTGACTTGCAGGTGACCCTGTGGAAGGAGGCAGTCGACGGACAGTGGGTGTGCATCAGTGATGTCCACAAGGGCCAGGGTTCTGTGTCCACCTCAGTCACAGAAGGTCAGCAGAACGAGCAGTGACAAGACAGGTGGGGTGCCCCCCTCCAGGACTGTGCCTTCCTGGGCTAGCTGACCAAACACCCAGGAGAGAGCTCCCAATCCCAGCAAGATCTTTTCCCAGGACTAGCTACAGATGCAACCCCCAATTGATCATCTGCCTTAACACGGTTTGATATGGTTTATAATTTACTGTGCAGCTGGGGACAGTCGTGTTAGGAAACTTCTCTTCAGATCTGTCGGTTTTGACCATTTTTACATAACTTTGGGTTCAGGCATTATTGGGATGGGGATTGTTTCCAAAGTAATTAAAATCATATTGCTTATAATTCTTTGTTGCATTATCCCAACCTAATTGGCTATAATGCTTTTCAATCCTTTAACCAAAACAAAGCAACTGAGAACAAAAGAAACCGCTTAGGCAATATTTTCATTAAAGTACTTCCCTCAGACCCTGGAACACGGAGTAGGGCCAAAGCCTTCATAGCCACAATCTCTAAGCTAACAAAGAGAAAGGGGAATTCTTATGGTTCCACAAACCAGGTGTCCGTTATTGTTGATTATCACTGGATGACGTGTAAGGTTTGCAAAACTCACAATTTCGGTGGTTGGCTGCCTACAGCATGGCCAGCAAGCAGAGGATGGCAGTCACATGCAAACCATAAGCAGCTCTCTCAGGAACCCCTTCTCCCTAGAACTAGAACTCAAGGCTCTCAAGACATCATTAATATATCAGGGCAGTGCCTCCACGGCACAGTCACCATGGTCCAATCCTTGCCCACCAGGTTTCACCACCTCCCAGTACAAATTCCACAACATGGAACTTTGGGAGACAGGCCATTATCCATCCAAACTGTAAGGCCAGAGAGCCCAGGTGTTGCTATCAGATACTCCTCTATCCTGAACAGAAAACTCGGCAAGCCAGTGTGACAGCTGGCAAAACAGACTTTACAAGTGAATCCAGAAGAGCGAGGAAACCTCTACTTCTGCACATGGAAGATGAACAAAGACTCCCTCCCTCTGTAAACTAGCAAACATGCAAAATGAATGAAACTGCTTTTAGACACAGAACAACAGTGTTCGGGGGAAAAGGAAAACATATTAGGCGAGCACCACCATGTCCCCTATTACTAACCAGAGGCAGCTCCCAGGCCAAAGAGCAGAGAAACAGAACCCAGAGTCTAGTGGTACAGCAGAGCTGAAGAGACAGAATCAAAGTCCAGGAAGGCCACGGCAGCCAGGTAAAGGAGGGAGCTGTAGAAACACGATCCTGAGGTCCACAGACCAGCCTCCTAAAATCTGGCCAAGTGCCAGCTTACGTGTATGAAAGGTGAAACTACATGGCCAAAAACCATAAACCAAAACAATTTCTGAAGCTCACACGGGTGAAAATAATTCATGTTGACAACGAGAATGAGACAACTTCATAATATACAGAGTACAGATAGCGTTCTAAGCTTGTACCTTAATAATTCCTCCTAGGTTAGTTCTAGAGTAAAGGTGGCTTCAGACCTTAAAAGCAAGTCTTGAAAGGATCACACTGGGGGCCAGATGGTGGCAGAGCAGTAAAACATGATTCTGTGAGACAGTTCCACAAGAGAAGGTTCAAATTTGGAGACCTCCCTGAGTACTCCGGGGACACACTTACCTGCGCTCTGGGGCTGTCTAAATGCTGGAGGTGGATCACAGTGTTAAGATGGGGGGTGGGGGCAGGGGGGCAATTTTTGCTTGTGGGGAAGAAAAAGGCTCAAACATCGATAAGTAATTTTACCCTGCGCCAGATCAAAGTCCACCACTTTAACCACTTTAAAAGACTAAAACAAAATTTACAATGTTGGGACCAGCAATTAGAGTAATGGCTATGTCGCTGGACTCCCATGTAGTTGACCACAGTTCAAGTCCCAGACCCGGTGGCTTAAACTCACGCCGGGCACATGTGCATGCGTGCCCAAGATCCCGAGAGGAGAATGGAGGAGAAGGGATTGTGTCATGGCCATCCCCCCTGGGGGGTGATTTCTCGCTTTCTCTCTCTCTTTCTGGCGAGCGCATGCGCCCTATAGCAAAAACCTCTAAAAAAAAAATTTACTATGTCTAGCATCCAGTCTAAAATTAGATATGCAAAACAGAAGAAAAATGACTCACAATTACCCCAAAATGATACGATAGGATTAGCTGATAAGCACCTTAAAAATAACTTACTATATAGTCAATAATGTAAAGAAAAGTGAACTTAATGAGACAAATGAAAATTTTAATACATGATGCCAAAAATACCCTGAATGGGATTAAGAGCAAATTTAGACAGTTTAGTAGAAAAAAGGTCAGAGAATGTGAAGACACAGCAATAGAAACTATACAAATTGAAAAAAAAGGACTAGATATATAAATATATGTGGGAGGAAGCAGGGAGGACGGAAAATACAGACACACACACATATATATGAACATCGTCTTATAGAGCCAAAATAATCAGAGACCCGCCAGCAAAAGAAACAGTAAAACACACCTAATAAAATCGTTATCAAGGCAGTCAGAGAAGAGACATTACATACAGACGAACAAGCACAGCAACCAAATTCTCATCACAGGTAATGCAAACCAGAGCCAGCCTATAACCTAGTGGTTCAGGGAACAGGATCCCACATGGCCAGCTGTGGTTGGAATCCCGGCCCCAGCAGCCTGAAAAGCATAGTAGGTACATGCACAAACAGCAAGCCCCCAAATCCCAACAGGCTGGAGAGCAGGGTGCTGCATGGCCACGCCTCTTCATGGGTGCTTTCTCTCTCCTGAGCACATACATCCTCTGGCAATTAAAAAATGCAAACCACAAGAAAACTCACATCTTTACTGAAAGAAAAAAGCCTTGAATTCTATACCTATTGAAAATACCCATTAAAGACTTTTTCAAATAAAAGCTGAAAGAGTTACCAACAGAGCTGTTGTCAATGAAAGTGTCTTTCCTTTGGGCAGAACAGAAATGGTACCAGATGAAAACCGGGATCAACACTAGGAGCAAGGAGCAGCAGAAATAATAAATACATTAGTAAATGTAAGACTTTCACCAACTTCTAAAATCCTGACTTGTCTACAGCTCATTATGGGACGTATAACTTCCATAGAAATAAAACGTGTGGGCTCTCCCCACTGCATGGTTAAGTGCTACAGAGGCAGCGGGATCCCACCCTGACTGACCAGGATTTGAATCCCAGCTTGAGAAACACACCAGGCATACATGCGCATGCTCAAATTCTGATGCCACATAGAACTGAAGAAAAAAAAGCTGCAACGTGACCAGGTCCCACCGGGGGGTTCGCTCCTCTCTGCCACACATGCACACACACAGTATCTGGCATAAAGAAATGTGTGATGACGATATCACAAAAAACAGAAGTGGGAAAATTATTCTGTCTTACAGTTTTTACAGTGTATTATGAAGGGGCATTGTTTTTGAAGGTATGCTACAATATGTTCTAGCATTTGCTAGAACATCTAAAAGAACAAAATAGAGTGTAATTAAGAGGCCAATAATGCAGACAGAATAAACACTCCTAAAGTGGGCATAAAAAGAAAAAAATGGGACCAGCAGTTAGCATAATGGCTATGTCGCTGGACTCCCATGTAGTCGACCGCGGTTCGCGCCCCGGACCCGGTGGCTTAAAACTCACGCCAGGCGCGTGTGCGTGCATGTCCAAGATCCCGAGAGAAGAATGGAGAAGGTATTGCAGCTTGGCCATGCCCCCTGGCCATGCCCCCTGGGGGGTGATTTCTCCCTTTATGTCTGTCTGGTGAGCGCATGTGCCCTATAGCAAAAATCTCTCCAAAAGGGGGGGGGGGGCAGAGATTGTCAGATTGGACATACAGATATATGTATCATTCAATATGTAACTTATTACATAGATCTGTGCTGAAACTCACTTTAAACACAGATTAAAATAATGAAATGATGAAGAAAGATATAAACATTAATGGAAACTAGCAGGTGGCATGGTGGTTAAGGTGCTGGACACTTCTACAATGGGGACAACGGTTCAAGTCCCAGACCTGGTGGCTTGCTTTCTCATTTTCTCTGTGCCTCTCTCTGGTCAAATTAAAATAAATGAATGAATAAAAGTAATTCTTAAATGTAAACAACCAAAAGAAAGCTGGTCTCCATACTGATTCAGATAAAGCAAACTTCAAAACAAGAAATACACAGGAGGCTGCTCCGTGGCCCAGTGGCTAAAAGATCAATCCCGCGTGGCCTACACAACTGAAAAACAAGCTGGTGCATGGGGCCAGCAGGTGGCATAGTGGGTGCGTCGCTGGACTCCCACGTGGCCAACCAGAGTTCAAGTCTTGGAGCCAGTGGCTCGAAAATCACACCTGGGACACGTGCGTGAGTACCCAGTTACCAGGGAGGAGAAGGGGCGATGGCCCATTCCCCTGAAGAGTGATCTCTCACTGTCCCTCTCTGTCTCTCTTCCTCTTTCCGGCAAGTGCACATGCCCTAACGCAAAAACCTCTTAAAAAAAATAAAGACAAGCTGGGTGTGTGTGCATGCGCGCTTAGAATCCCAGCAGCAGAGAAACGGAGGAAACGGGATCGCCGTGTGACCGCACTCCACTGGGGCTGCTTCCTGTTTTCTGATGAACACACCCACCCTCTGGCAAATTATGCAAAAAACCTATATAATGTGTATATATATAAAATCGGAGAAAAAGAGGGGTATAGCAGTAAGAGTCAGTCGGCCAAGACAGTACAATCTTAAGTGCATATGCACCTAATAAGCTTCAAAGCATGTGAAATTAAAGAAACTGAAAAATATTTCACAATTATACTTGGAGATCTCAATACTCCTATTTCAGTAAGAGACAAAAGTGAGGGGCCGGCAACTGGCATAACGGTTAAGGGCACTGGACTCCCACATGGCTGACCAGGGTTTGAGTCCCGGACCTGGTAGCTTACTTTCTCACTTGCCCTCTCCCTCCCTCTCTCTTGCTCTGTCCCTCTCTGGTCAAATTAAAAATAAATAATTCTTTTAAAAAATAAGACAAAACTGAACCTCAAATCAGTAAGGTAACGGAATACATAAACCTCTCACTCAGCTGAACCTAATGTGAATTTATAGAACAGTCTACCCAACAACGCTTAAATTCATTTTCGAGTGTACCTGGAGTCCTCACCTAGTTGGACGAATTTCTGGATCTTAAAAAAACAGACCAAAAACGCAATAAATGTAAGAGTAAAACTGCAGAACGTACGACCTGGCAGTAACGGGAAACTAGGAATCAGGTGTACCAGCGGATTCGGCAAATGCCTGAGTATGCGGAAATGTAAGCAGCGCCTGTCT